ATGTGTTGTGAATTTGGCGCTATATAAATAAACTGAATTGAATTGAATTGTCAAACTTTCTGTTTTTGTTCATTTCCATTATATTAGCTGTATCTATTTCTAATGCTGCTCTGCTTGTCCAAAACACCTTTTAAGGACAATTAAGTATTTTTAATTAGAATAAAAAGATCACTAGATCCATCTGTTTCAAAAATATCATTAATGAGAAACTATAAGCTTTCTTTTTATCTCTGTGTTCTTTCCTCAGCTGTGTCCCTGGCACTTGCTTTAAATGGAGTCTTCACAAATACCATTAAGCTGATTGTTGGCAGGTATGCTAAACGAGTCCTTCAAGTCGCTGTCAGTGATGTATCGTTTGAGGTTGCTGTCTTTGATCAGAGACTTTTAGACTTGTAGTAGAAATTGTGTTCTCGATGCATTGGAATCACAGAGCAAAATGAAAACTCTCTTTGTGATTTTCAGACCAAGGCCAGATTACTTCCAGCGATGTTTTCCAGACGGTCAAATGAATGCAAAGATGCTGTGCACCGGAGAGCCGGAGTTGGTCTCAGAAGGACGCAAGAGCTTCCCCAGCAGCCATTCCTCCTGTGAGTATCAGAAAGAGACGCCAAAAATCACCGTCGGCAACTGATAAACAATGATCAACCATATCAGATCTCTAACACCAACTCATTAAAACTGTGTCAGTTTTCCAGTCAGTTTGAGCTTGATGCTTCGAGCTAATAAAGGGGGTCTATGTGCTGACTGATTTTGATCAAGATATTTTTTTATTGTTGCCAGGGATATCATAGAGAAGCCCCGAGGAAGCTTGTAATAAATGAGTCCAGTTTATTTCACTTTTGATGAGTGAAAGTTGATAACAAGCTCAGAGTTTCACCCTAATCTGACTTCCTGCTGAGATCAGCTGCAGAAACCATGCAGGGATGAATGTTGGTCATTTCTGCTTGGAAAACTGTTTCCACCTCCATTTTTAGTAAAATAATTCACTTTTTTTCTGACATGGAGAAGATGGGTTAACTGGGATTGTTTGTGATGGTACAAACAGATGGTGCACACTGCATGGTGTGGGTTTTGAATTTGCATTCACATTCTGACTCCTGCATCTGAATGTATTTATCTGAATGTTTATCACTTAAATATTTATTGTTGTTTCTGCTTACAGTGGTTTATAAACTGCATAACCTGCCTGTCAGCAGTTTAAGTTCCTTTTTTGTGCCGTAGCTGACTTTCAGTTATACCACTGCGATATTTTTATATATCTACAATTGTATTCATATTTAGAACAATAATCAATACGTCAAAATGAATATGTCAAGTATAAATGCTTGCCATTCTGTGAAGGACTGGGATTGATTATTGAATAGAGTATGTCTCTTTGCCTAATGTTTGTGTAGAACCAAATCCAGAGTTGACTGTTACTTTAGATTGTTTATTACAGGGACGTGATTTGTCTCTTCAGAAGACATGTCTTGAGGTGCTGTGCTTCACTCCGCTGCCTCCAGTGCTTTACAACTCACTTTGTGATGTATGACCTGGATGCAGTCGTTGAACTGCCTGAAGGCCACATCGGCTGTGGAGATCTGTAGTAAATGCATAAAGTCAGGGGTGACCACACATCTGCTGACTTTGTTCTGGGATTTTGTGTGGTTTACAACTTAGTATTTAAATCGTAGCTGTCTGTTTCAATTGGTTTCTTTGTCTTTATGTCATTAACAGTTGGAACTGGATTATTTATTACACAGAACATTAAAAACAACTGAATTTCAAGGCAACTATTATCCAATCCAACTATAGCACTTTAACAAAAGAAATAGGACCAAGGTGCTGCATGAAAGCAGAAATACGAACACCATAAAATGCAAGATTCATTAAAAAAATATGAATAAATAAATAAGTAAAAACAGCATAGAATATAGAAGAAATAAAACATCAAATCAACCAACACCAACATCCTTTTGAGTATTTAACGCCAGATAGAAAAGACGAGACTTTAAAACAGATTTAAAAACGGTCAAATAGGAAGCCTGTCTGAAATGCAGCAGCATCATTTCTACAGAGAAGTTAAGGTGTCCACCGAGTTTATGTCTCCTTCTAGGTACAGGAGTAACTGATAAGCCTACATTAGAGAAGAAAGTGGTACAGATATACAGGATATAAGGGATCAGTGATATATTATGGGGAAAGGCTATTAAAAGACAAAATAAAAGACTTTTTAAATGTATAAAATTAACTGGCCGACAGTAAAGTGAACTTAAAAGTGGGGAGTTATGTTCAAACTTGTCATGATTGGTTTTTAGGTTAAACCCACATGCAGAATACAAACGGAGGCTGAGTAAAAGTTTAACAGAGTTTATTGAAGTTAGATTGACACAAGAACATGAACTGGATCAAGTACTGGTCCGGGTTGGGTTCACTGATGTCTGCAGAGATGGACAGTTTGATTAGCCAGGCAGTCAGAAGATTAATTGAGTTTTAAGATTGTTCTGAGTCTACCTTGAAGATGTCCAGGCTTAACTTGTGAGGGAGGGAACCGTTGGGTCCAGAGACTGTTGGTTCAGCAGAGTGCACAAGCAGCAGCAGCGTCTAGCTTCTGACTTTGAATGGCAGAATCGGGTTTCTCTCTTGAGATAACAAAGATTCTTTCAGGTAACAGAGGCTCAGGTTTGCTAACCAAACTAAGGTCAACACTGCGGCGTTGAAGGAAGGTCTGGCAGCTGCTTAAGTAGAGAAGGTCTCCTGATGGGCTGACGAGGTCCAGGTGTGCTGGAGGGCTCCAGCCCAGGAGACCCACGGCGCACTCTGCTGGAGAAAGGTGGTACTTCTCCAGATCCCAACAAAACTCATGTCTCCCGACTTAAAGTTGTGCAGCAGAATTTTGAACTGTCTGCAAGCAACTAATGATCCACTAACACCAAAATATGTCTCTGAAAGGGGGGGTTGTTAGGGGGAATTGTTGGCCTGGCTGAAAAGAAGAGGTCTTCTGTTACCCTGTAAAGGGGTTCGGGTACAATTATGGCGGGAAGGAATCAACTCAATTGCCGCATTAAACAGACATAGGATTCCAGCGTCGCAAAGTGGTGGATCACCGTTTCAAATTGTGCTGCACNCAAAGTGGTGGATCACCGTTTCAAATTGTGCTGCACACAGTATGACCTTTATTAAGGTCAGCAGCAGCAGCTGAATGATCCTGGATTTGACAACAACTTTGATCTGGCTGTCAAAGTTAAGATGGCTGTCTATTTCAAAACTTAAACTTGTGACCACTGGCTTCACAAACTGATCTAGATAGCCTAGGTGTAAAGGTAGGCTCTCTGATGAGCCTCAATAAAACACTTCTGTCTTTTTCTCATTAAAATGTGAAATTGACATTTCAAAAGAGATTCAACAGAGACTTGTTTCACCTCAGTGGGACATAGATCTGACTGTCTGCATAAACATGAAAAAAATCTTTGTGCTTCCAAAGAGTGGATCCAAGTGGGAGCAGATAAAGAGTAAAAAGAAGGGGCCATGGACAGAACCCTGAGGAACTCCATATAAAAGAGGATCTTTGGGGAACACAGAATTTTCCAAACAGACACAAAATCTTTAATCAATCAGATTGGACCTGAGCCACTGCAGTGCTGTTCCACAGATCCCCCACCCAATGCTCAAAACAAGATAAAAGGATATTATGAGCCACTCTATCAAAGACTGCAGTTAAGTCTAACAGCAAAAGAACAGCACATTCAACAGAGTCACTAGCTAAGAAAATATCGTTAAAAACGTTCAAAAGGGCAGACCCAGTGCTGTGCCAAATTAAAATCGGAGTGGCAAATTTCAAAAATGTTAT